AAAAATTCAGTTACTTAAATATTTCATAAATATAGTTTAAAAAACTAAAAAATACGCTATTATAGTATATGATACTGAAAGTAAAAAATAAATTTAGTCTAATAAAAATAAAAAACACGCTTTTATAGCATATGAAAGTGAAAAGTAAAAAATAAATATAGTTTTAAAAAACTAAAAAAAACACGATTTTAAAGAACATCGAACTAAAAAGTTAAAAATAAATCTAGTTTATAAAACTAAAAATCACATAAACATAAAGAAAATCGAACAGAAATGTAAAAAATATTTTTTAAGCTTAAAACAATAACGATCGGAAAATACTAGTATTGTTGTGAAAACAGCAGTTGTATATCTAGCATCAATTACAGGACCATACTACGCATCATTACTTGACAATCTGAAGGTAGAAAAACGGCCACATTTGCAGGAAAAGAAAATCATATTTCACCACGACAACGTACCGTCTCACTCCTCAGCGGTTGCCATGGCAAAAACCCACGAATTATGGTTTGAACTGCTTGACCATTCGCCTTACTCACCAGATCTAGGCTCAAGCGACTTCTTTTTGTTCTCTCATCTTGAACTTGAGCTCGAAGTATCGAGATTTTCGTCAAATGAAGTCCAAAGCAGCTACGTGAACAATTCAAAAATATGCATACCTTTTCTGGAAACGTGGATACGGAAATTTGTACTCTCGCTGATAAAGAGAAGCAAGTGGAAGTTCAATAGCAGTGATGTTGCAGAAGAAGACATCGTCATTATTGCGGATAATATTTATTCCAGAAAATCATAGCCAAGAGGAAAAGTTACGCAAATTTTTCCTGGTCCCGATGGCAGAGTTACGGGTAGTCGAAGTAACTACAGCAACATGAATTTATCGTCGTCTCATCACAAAAATCATTTCGTTGAAGCCAAAGAAGTAATTTGCGAGCCCCGGAGAATGTTCTGAATTAATCTGACATCTAGTAGTGAAGATGAGATTGTTTATTGTTTTATATAGTTATAGTATTTCCAATACCAATTGGAACAGCATAGAGAAGGAATTCCCGCCTCGACATAGGCGTCGGTATATTNCGTGCCATAACTAGTCTCTTGAAAGCATCCAAAAGTCCACACCCACACTCATGCAGGCACACACAAAAATTACTAAACAAAGCCGTGTGTATGTTAATGCCACAAATACTACAAAACAACCGCAAACAGTAAATTCATTATTATTATATATGCATACCTAGAGGACATAACATAATTCAACATCAAATAACAATCCCCAACACAACATTACATCACATTACATAACATTACATAAAGCAGTTTCAGGGTATGCTTAGGGACAGAGTCCCATGCATATGAACAATGCTTCAAAGATGGTCTCATCTGGACTTTATAAAGCATCAAAAGTTGCTGAGGTTTGTATAGTCTATCCATTCTTGACTGGAACGGCAATAAAAATGAAAATACAGTCAAAAACAATTTCTTTCCTGTGGCCACTAGTCGCCCAGATAGTAAACATGCAGTTGAAGAATGAAGGCTCGGCTAGCTGGACTGGCTGAAACTAATTTTTTGTCCGTTTCTCAATATTTTTTTATCAGTGCCATGTGTTCGTGGGGTTAGGTGAGGTAATGAGTAGTTTTGCAAACCGATTTTTGAAAACTTTTTCTAGAGATCAATTACCCTAACACCAAAGTGATATTTT